CTATATTTTTTCTTAAATTCTAAATGAATTAAGTCTAAAAATAATACAAATATAATTTTACTTAAAACTAATATAAATAACATTTTGGTATGAATACTTTGTACATCTATTGTGCATCATTACACGGGGGCACTATATAAATTATCTAATATCGTACAAAGAAAAAATAATATCTATCTATACAAATTGTAAAATATTAAAATATATGGTTTAATTTAATTACAGATTGTTATGACAACGGCTCATATAATTTTATACAAAATTTTGACTACTTATGTGATGTCCATAAACTACTAAATACATTCAAAAGTCACATATGAATTAATCTAAATATAAATCATTAATGCAAAACAATTTCCGACATCGCATTAAATAGCTGAATATATTTATAATTATAAAAACCCTAATTGTGGTCAAAAATGATAGTACAGGATATTTGGCCTACTTCAGATTTTAGCTTTAAGATTATAAAAGTCTTATTTTGTCAAAAATAATATAATATTAGGCTTAAACAACATTTTGTTTGATGTTGGTTTATAATGAAAAGCATAGTTTCTCCAAAATTAATATGTAGAAACAATTCATTTAAAAAAAAATCATTTACCAGGAGATTTGTGAAATTATAATCGCACAGTATTGCTACATTATCATTGTCCATAGAACTTTCATTGCTTAAATTAATGCATTTAATCACTGGTACGCTTGCATTTAAATACTTGGTAAAATCTAGCATGGAAATGATTGGTGAATGTCTATCCCGTTGTTTAATTTAAATTACTAAAAATTAATTCTGAAGTGATTTTGAACGAGCCTTATTAGAAGTGCATGATGATCCCTGTTTCTCCAAGAGTTCAGAGTGCAAATTCCTCTTCTCGCCACCAGTCGTTGATGTCACTATAACTTTTGTATTGGCGTGGTTCGGCGTGCAACATTGCGCACATTCGCACCAGAATACGTATTTATTAATTCACCGGTACCTTTCCACCTAGGTAAAAGACATTAAAATGTATTAAAATTTAAGCAAGGTATGTTATGATAACAGAATTCTAGATGGTGCGGTTATCATAAGATTATTCCTTGCTTGTTTATATGTAAAATACGCCCAATCGCACGGCAAATAGATAGACATTTTTTATATTTTCAATACTAAGCATAAGAGAGCGTTGCCATGACAACGCTATTTTAAGACTCTGTTACGGCAGAATTGCCCCATATAATTTACTATTATTAAATTAATCATTGTTTTTTTCCTATCCATTCATATGTGTAAAAAAATTAGACATTTAGGGTAAATTTATTCACAAACTTTCAGAGTTCCCTAAGCTGGAAGTTATACTCCTTCTGTTTTAACCACAGTACATCTTCTTGCCATCCTCATATTTTTCAATAAAGTTAGGCTTTAATTCAAGAGACATGGTCCTTTTCTTTAGACCCATTGTTATGAAAATAAATATTTTGTAAATGTACAAAAAGCAAAAAACGCGAACTCAGCATATATAACTGGGCAATCATATGAGTTGGAATTTCCTACGTTAAAATAATCTTCGATATATTTGGGTCAGTAAATCGTTACTGCACAAATTAATTTTAATATATAATTCAAATGACTAACTATAAAATAATTATTGCTATCATAAAACAACGATAA